ACCCGAGTCCCCTAGAGGCGGGCGCAAGAGCAGGGAGCCCGGCTGGGCACAACACAGTCAATTCCAGACTGACATCGAGGTCGCGCGCGGCTAGGAGCCGAACTCGCCGCGCGGGGCTCGAACCCGCGGCCAGAGCAGGCTCGTAGTGGACCCGGACCTGGACAGAAGCCCGGAGCATGCGCAGACGGCATCCCCCGCCCGCAGGCTCTCAGCACCACACACAGTTCCGGGCGAAGGGCCGCTTCCGGAAGTTCGTGGAGGGAATCTTCCGACACTCGTCCTCTGATTCGTTAGCGGCCACATCCACTTCCGCAGACAGTTCCGTTCCTCTTCCGGCTGTCTGCAAGTGTGTCCCCGTAGGACGTCCGCGCCCGCCCTGTTTTGTTTCCGGGGGAATCTGCTTCGCTGAAGAACGCTCGGGACTTCCGGTGCTCTTCTCCGCCTCTGATTGGCTATTTTTATGAATAATTAGAGCATCGAGAAAAAGAATGTTTTATTTACACATTTAAACTAATAGAGGTGATCGAATGTGATCCTATGGATTTCTACTGATGTGGGTATTTCCACTAATGCCTCTGTAATGGACGAGCAGAAAGTCACCGTCACCGTAAAGTGTAGCGTCTTTAGGTGCCTATATAGCGAGCAGGCGGGGCCGCAGCCGTGTTGTATGAAAGGAGAGAAGGTTAGCACTCCCCTTGACAAGGATGGAAGAGGCCCTCGGGCCTGACAACACGCATACGGTTAAGGCACTGCCACCTACTTCGTGGCATCTAACCACTGTTTTTTTTGTTGTTCATGGCCCTCCACTATTTTTCCAAAGTTTCTCCTAACCACCTTGCATCAGCCCTGCCAGCTGTGTCTGCATCCAGTCACGTGGGTCGACAGGCGCGGTCCGCTAGGAGGTGCCCTGAGTACGCAGGCCAGAGTTGGGAAGTAAGTGAGGTCAGCCTGGTCAAGGGTAGGCAGGATTTGGGGGCGAATCCCTGCTGGCCGAAGGGCCTAACTAGTTTACATTTTTTTCCTCTCATCAGCTTTGGGACATTGAGGCCTCACTAAAACCTGACGGAACTTTGCGATCAATATTCATTCAAAGAACAGCAGGCACTGAGCAGGTGCCTTCCATCAGACACAGTTCCAGGCATGGAAATGACCTTACCAGGGGAGCTCCTGTAGACCATCCCAGAGTCTCAGCTGCCCTGGAGATGAGCTCTGTACCAGCAGAGGAACCCAGCAGTTTTGCACAGGGTGGTGAGGATGGCACAGTACAGGATGCCTCTCTGTTGACTAAAGGTGAGCCATCAGGCCAGGTGCAAAGGCCAGTGTAAGTATGCAGAGGCTGGCACAGGCCTGGGAGGCAGGGAAGAGGGAGCAGAGGACAGGCCATCTGAGGGGCCCAGGGGCCCTTGCAAGGACTTAAGGTGTGGTTTGCTCAGCAAGGGGAGACCCTGAGGATATCCCAAAGGTGAGGGACAGAATTTAACTAGGCATTCCTCTGGGTGCCACAGTGGGGCAGGTAAAAAACGGCTACTGGGAAAGTCAGCAGGGAGTGTGGCCAGGACAAGGGATGAGAGTAGTGAGAAGCAGCCACTTCGTGGGGGCATTTCCAAGGCAAGGACTTGCTGACAGTGTGGAGGGCAGCAGAGAGGGCAAATGCCAGTTTATTCCACTGGGCCACCAACTCGGATAGGAAACTTGCAGGGGACAGAACTGTGGCCACAGGACAGTTGTGGACAGCCAGGCTGCAGGAGCTGGGCTCCTGTCCACCGCATGGATCACCCCACTTAGGAGGTGTAGACAGAGACCCGAGTGGATATGAAGCCTGGCCCCGGGTGTTCTGCAAACAGGGAGACTGGAAGCAACCGTCATGCAGACCTAACCAACAGGCTCCAGGCAGCTTCCCTTTGTTGTGACCTGCTGGCCCTTCCCCTTGTGTTACCCTGGATTTCCAGCCCCCAAAAGCCTCATCTGAACTCTCCCTCTCCTTCCCTGAACAGGCTAGTGTCATGGAAAATTGACCTTGAAGCAGAAAACAGAAAAAAAGTAAACACCCCTGTGCAGTCTGAGGCCAAGTCCTCTCTAGGCCTTCGGTGGCTCACTGACAACTTTAAATGGCAGAATGTTGTCTGTACCCAGTGGTGTGCATGTTGCCCTGCGGATCGAGTCATTGCCAGCTTGAATGTCTGCAACTCACCTGTGCCTGCAGTGCTCCGAACATCTCACAGGCTCCCTTGCTCACTAGTTAAAACCCTTGAGTTCCCCTCACCTCCCCCCACCCCCAGCGGCTGCCTCCTATTGGCTGGGGGTGAGAGCTGAGGGCCTCCTCTTGAGGCCTGGAGCCACTCTCCTTGGTTGGACGGGGCATCACCCTGTTGAGGCCTCAGCATCCCTGTCCCTTCCTCTGGCAACAGCACCCAAGTCTTCCTGGCAGCTTTGGCTCCTGCTACGGCAGTGGACTGGCACAACGAACAACCTCAACCAGTGAGGTTTCTGTCATCAACTCAAGAGCAGGATGTTCTGGGTCCAGGAGTGCAACTAAACTACACACAGTTCCCCAAAGCTGGAAACAAACCTCCAGAGGCTCCCAGAAGGCTAGAACATGTGTGTACACATGTGCCTGTCTGTCATCCACTCGTGTGCACACATACACATCTATGCCAGTGTGGGCATGTGTGTGTGGACACATGCATGTGTGCATATGCATGCACGTGCACACACGGACACATTTTAAACACTAAGACAGCTGAGAAATCTGAACATCAGATACTTAGTTCTGTGGGTACAAGTCTGAAGAACGGGTCTTGGCGGCACTATGCCAACGGTGATGAAAACTCTGGGTTCACACCCAAGTGCCCAGGAAGAGCTTAAGGTATAAATCTCTGAAGCAGGTGACAGGGCAGGGGGTGCACCGCACCACCGTCTCCACTTCTGTAATTGTTCATTTGTAATGGATACACTCAAGACATTCCCCAAAATGTTGTATCTCTGCCTGCCTGCCCACCATGGCTGACGACCAGCATAAGTGTCCAGCTTTCACAAGAAAAGGTTATTTTCTAAAAGAGCAAGGACTTCCAAAGCACACTGGGGCACCCTGGGAACACTGGGCAGACTGAGGGACAGTGGCCAGGGCCGCTGTCCTCCCCACAGGGTAACCATGTCTTTAGGGTCAGGAAATTTGGCCCATCCCCACGGGAGCAGGCAGTCTACAGGGCAGATGTCCCTGGAAGGCTGCAAGCAGGCCACACGTTGCCATTGAGCACTGTCGAAGCACAAAGCTTTACCTCAAATCCGGGTGGAGATGCCGACGTGAAACTGCCTCTCACTGGGCGGGGACACATGCACATCCGCTGAGAACATGGAGATGCCCCAGTGGTCGGAGGACGGCCACTGCACACAGGGAATGATGCATACCCTCACAGACATATAAACTAAATCTTTCATCAAAAGTCAATAAAAGCCGATTTGTGCATTTAAAAAGTTACAAAACTCTACTGAGACAATTAAAAGACATGAAAATCTTTATTTTCAAAAGAATATTTTTACACAAATCTACAACAGAGCTCAACTGTAGAAAAAATAAACTATACTCAGGGACACAGTACCTGGCATAGCAAGCAGCCCTCCCCTCCTAGGAGGGCTGCACCACCAGGACAGAGTTGGAAGGGCCTCTTGTCCCTCAGGAAACTCCACTGCTGTCCCTTCAGCAATGACCACCCATCTATCAAACAGGTGCAGAGCCCAGACCCACATGTCAGAGACAGAAGCCACCCTTTCACTGTAGCAATGGGCCTCTTCAGGTAGCAGGAAGCTTCTTTCCCAGCACCGTTCAGGATTTTACCTTCCCTGCTGAACAGCAACCACTGGAAGATTCCCAGAGAGCCTAGCTGGGGACTGCAGCCCCACTCCTCTACTGGGTCACCCATCTGAGGGCACTACAGACTTTACTCTGGACCCTTAACAATGGCTGAACTGGCTAGTCCAGACCCGGAGCGTCCACAGACCTGGGCCACCAGGCTTCCTCCACATAGAACACTGGCACTGCTGTGATGCGGCTGAGGCCAACCAGGAGAGGTAAATGTGCCTCCCCATGTCCCATGGTTCTCTACTATGCCAAACACACCTTACCCACCAAGGTCTCAGACAGCAAACCAGGGCTGGAACCCCTGCAGCACCTGCCTTGGTCCATGGGCTCAGCCTGCAGCAGTGACAAACTGCCATGCAGTTCTGAGTCTCGCCACCACCTCTCCCCAGACCTGATCACCATAAGCCGGGACAATGCACAGGCCCCAGCAGGCCAGGAGCTGGGAGGGAGAGGAGCCAGCTCCAGATGGCAGGAGGCTGTGCCTTCCAAGACAGGCTCTACCCTGTGCTCCTCTCCTTCCTGTGCTGGACACCCAAGCCTGACCTGAAATGGAAGAACCAGAACCTCCATGCATGATAGCACCAAAAGGCTGTTCCAGCTGAGCATCCCACCACACCAAGGCATGTGGCGCTCGGTGCCTGCAATGTCAGCCATCAGGAGAAAGGAGGCATAGCCAGGGGGCTGGTCTGTGGACAGCCTCCTGCCCTCTGTGAAACTGATTCCAAAACCCAGGTGGAGACAAGCTCACAGAGAACTCAGTGACCACAGCATTTGCAAAACCCCACCTTTTATTACCGTGAGTGCAGCTTGTCATGTGAGTACCAGTGACACAGGGGACGCTGTCTGCAACCACCATGCCCTCAGTGTATGAACTATGAACTCCAAAATACAAAAGGACTTCACAGAGAACAACTTACAAACTTCTGTGTTTTCCAGAAAGAGCTGGAAATGCACTGTGAACTACTACAGACAGGGCCCTATGAGCAGGCAAAGTCGAGACCTGACAAAACACACAGCAGGCCAAGGTTGGGGACAGGTCAGGCCAGAGCCCAGGTAGGGCCTGGTCACAGAGCCCACATTGGATAGCAAGGTATCAAAAGGGTACAGAACAATTACTGGAAAAAACACAACCCATGATAAATTGAACGTCACTCTTTTGTAATAAAAAATTAAAAATTTGTGTTGCCTCTGAGCACAGAGTAGACCAGGTACTTCTCCCTGGACAGGGACAGAGGAATTGGCAAGAAATGTCACAGCGACTGTAAGAACCTTCCGGTGGCACCCACTTCCCCTCAGCCAACGTCTTCAGAGGAGACGAACTCAGGCCTGTCCACCAGGCCAACCTGGACGCTCCTGCCACACGCACGTTTCTTGCCAATCCGGATCTTCTGGACCCGAGAGTCTCTCACGTGGCACCAGGGACTTAGCAGTCGCTCTTCCACAGTTTAATCGTTTTGTCGTTCTCTAATGCGGCTGAGGCAATGATGTTTTCTGTCGGGTGACAAGCCGTTGAGATCACAACATCTGAAAATGGAGAAAGTGCTCAGAATTGCTGGGCACTACCAAGCACTGCCCAAGCCTGCTGTGCACAGAGTCCTCCTCACCAGGGCCCAGGGCTGACCATTCCCACTGCCTCCCAACTGCATCCCAGGCAGGGCCACCGGCACCAAGGAGCCGCATGTGAGGTCAGCACCATCCATGCCTTCACAACTTTATGCCAACTGAACCCCAGGACATTCTGCCTGTTCCCTTGGGTAGCTTCACCCACCCCACACATGCCCAGCCACATATGGCAGACAACACCAGATCAAGGGAATGTCATGAGCCCAGGCCCACTCCTCAGGTTTTCCAAGAAGAGTGAAGCCCCTGCTCCCCCAACACCACAGAAGTATAGGGCAGGGGCAACCAGGACGGGTGCCTGGGAATCTGCATGAGCCACCACTCAGAGCCAGGCAGCAAGATATCCACTGGGCAGGCACAAGGCCAGAGCCAGTTAAGTGCAGCTCTCCCACACAAGAGACAGGGCATGTGGCACCCTGGAAAAGTTAGCGCCACATGTGTCAGGACCAGGGAGGAGTGCAGATGCTCTCCCAGGAGCCCTGGCTCTGAGTCAGGACCCACAACTCACCAGCCCTGTGACCTGGGACAAGAGTACCTGAGAGCAGCCTCCAGACTGGCCAAGTGCCTTCCTGTGCCTGTGGGGGCTGAGGAAGGAGCACAGGCAGCCCTGTTCAGTCTGAGACCGTACTTCCCTCCCCAACAAGGCTACATAAGGCAGAGCCCACCTGTGTGGCCCTGCAGCTTCTGAACAATCTCCTTCGTCTGCAGGTTCCAGATGTACACCAAGTTATCTTCAGAGCCAGACACAATCCACTGGGCCACACAGTGGCAGACAGGCAAGAAAACACAAGATCAGTGTTCAGGATGGAGGAATAGTGAACTTCCCTGTCACTTTTTGCCCCTAGTCCCCACCCATCCTTTTGGTAGCTTCTGTGCTGAACTCACAACACAAAGCTTCACCTCCTCTCCAACAGGGCCTGGTGCCGCTCTGAGCCCTCACTCTCACGGACATGCAAGCACCTCATATGACACCACAGGAGAGCTTCTGGCTAGAAGATGCTCCTTAGGTCACCTTCTGTTTCTGTGTCAGTCACATTTAGCCCAGAGTCACTACCAACTCTTAGACGTTCCACCAAGTTCAGTATAAGACTCAAGTCAGGCAGACCCAGTGTAGGAAAAGGCACCCTCCTCTGCTGGGGCAGAGGGCCCAACAGGAGCCGGCGAGTAGCCTTGGTGTTGGCAGTTTGCGCCTGGAGACACGTGAACAAAATGCCACACCTGTGCATCCTTAACAGTAAGGGCGAGACTGATCAATAAAGAGTCTAACTTCACAATGGACAGCTTGTCCCCAATAACCAAAATCCAGCAGATGCAGCAGCAGACCAGACATGTCCCTGGAACACTCAGTCCTGATGCTTGGGACACTGTGATTTCACTTTGGCCAGAAACCCCAATTTGTTTTGTCTCTCAGGACAAGAAGTCACCAGAGACGTATGTCCTCTCAGGAGGGAGCTTGCAGGGTAATGGTGGCACAGCAGGGACTCACCTTCCCGCCAGTCACGGAGAAATTGGCAAATATGCAGTATTTCTCATTCTTGTGACCAGTGTATGTCTTCAGGCACTGAAAAGGCAGGTGACAGACTGTTAGCGCCCAGCATTCACTTGCATTCCTGAGGATTCTAAGGTGTGGGTGCAGACATCTGACTGCTGGTAAGTTTTAGAAAGTGCACTGACTCTACAGGTGCAGAACCTACAGGGCCCAAGCTCTAACCACACATCAGCGGTCCACGAACGCCCCAGTCTGTAAGGAACTCGCACTGAACCAGTTCAGCGGAGATGGTCTAGAGTCCCCAGCCCAGAGTCCCTCCTGCTTCAGCTCAGGGGTGTGCTGTGCTACTTCCCCGCGTTGCCCAGGGACCACACACAGCAGGCCGGGCCAGCATGTGCCTGGAGCTCACCTTCCCCTTGCTGTAGTCCCAGAGTTTCAGCGTGCTGAAAGACAGAGAGACAGGGTAAGCGGCTGTCCCAAGGCTGCCTGTCTGAGGCTGTGCCCTGCCCCTGCTACAGCCATATCACGACAACCATTAGTGTCAAGCCACAGGCCCACTGGGCTGGAACCCCTCTTCCATGAAGGCAGGGTGCCCAACACTGAGGGGCTCTCCGGTCTGCCATGACACACGGGAACAAGCACAGAACCCCAAATACGTGCAATCCAAGGACAGACTTTTTAAAAAGGAAGATGCAAGTGCTGTCACCCCTGAAATCATTGGTCAGTCTCAAAAAGTATGAAGGAGGCGGGCAAGCATAGTAGAGTACACTTATAATCCCAGCTATGTGGTCCAAGTCCAGCGTGGGCAAAAGTATGAAATACTATCTGAAAAATAACTAAAGCAAAAACGCAGGAGGAGTAGCTCTAGTACAAGGCTCTGAGTTCAAGCCCCAGTGCCATCAAATAAAAGAAGAACGTGAAAAGTCATTTCAATTGCAGAGATGCCCAGAACAGATGGCACCAGAACCCCTCTCTGCTCATCCTAGGGGCAGATGTTCATCCTGACCATGGGGAGTGGAGGGCTGACCAGGGAAAACGCCTGACCACAGGACAGACCCTCAGGAGAGCTGGGCAAGGCCCAGTTGGTCCCTGAAGAGCCACACAGGGTACTCAGGTCAGACCCACAAAGACCCTTGGAGGCCACACACACCCCTTGCTCCATGCAGGAAGGTGACGGCCTGCCCTGTAGTCACCCAAGGAGCAGGTGAGTCCCCAAATCCTTCTGAAACCAGATCTGCCCTGGACCTGTCCTGGACAGGATGGGCAAGTCTTCCTTCAGACCCTCAGCCACACTCCCGATTCTGAGCTCCAAAGGAACCTGCACCATGCCGAAGCATAAATACTTCCCACCAGACAGGTGGCTCAGAGTCCACAGTGGAGAGCACAAAGCCACCCCTCAGGGAAGTGGGAGCACTCACTTGTCCAAGGTTGCTGCCAGGATGTACTTGCCATTTGGGGAGAACTTCACAAACGACACGGGAGGATTATCGTCATCTGCATGGAAAACCGAGATGGGCTAACCTACAGCGGCAGGACAGGCAGAGCCTGCTCTACCATCACCTGTGCAGGACATCTGCAGGAGGTCCTTGTCACCAGTGCCAACACCACCACCCTTGTGGAGCCTCCAAGAGCCCTGAACACCACTCTCCCCCATCACTTGTCCCAGCAGGCATACTCTTCCTGATGCCTCTCAAACCCTCTATTCCCAAGGGTCCCCTCAGTCACCAGGACTTCAGGAACAAAGGGCAAGAGGCAAGCCCCATTCAGACCCCGGGCCTCCTGCCAGCACAGGGCATCCTCAGATGGGAACCTGTGAGGCCTGTGAGGAAGAAGGCTTGCAGATGCCCAACAAGGCTGAGAAGCCTCCCATGGAGGAAACAGCATGGGGCAGCCCACGGCCACCTGCCTACTTCATAGCCCTGCCCCAGTCTTCAGCAGGACGTCACCTCTGTTCCTAACGCCCTGGCTCCTAAGTTCAGCCCCAGGCTCTGGGAGACAAGAGGAGCTGAAGTGCCAGGTTTCCCATGGAAAGGCCAGTTTCCAGGGTGCAGTGACACTATGATCCTCACACCAGAACCGTGGAGTCTGCCCCTTGCTTGGGTGAAGAAGGAGGTGTGCCCCGGAGTGGGTCTGTCTGGCTTGCAAGGTCCCAGTTACCCGAGCCCATGCACGCGTTGGCTGGTGTGACCCGAGCACACGCATTACCACCATGGGCTCCCTGGGGGATCCGATCTCTTGGGATGGTCACCCACACTGCAAAGGCACACAAGACAGTGTGAGGTCTGACTGAGGCCACAAAGAGGCCCGTTAATTGAGCCGATGTGGAGCAGCCTCTGGTTTGTTGTTTTTGGCAGTGCTGGGGATGAACCCAGGGCCTGGCACATGCGAGGCAAGCGCTGTACACTGTACATCTCCATCCCTGTACTGAGGGGGTCCTCGCCCAGGCCACCTCAGCAAGACAACCCCAATCTGTGCCTGACAGCCCGACTCCTAGGCCAGAGAAGAGACTGACAGGTGGCAGCCCCACCAGTCCAGCACTTCTTCCTCAACGCAGCCGGCAACCTAGGGCTCATTTAAATCCCAACCAGCACCTAGTCAGGTGTCACATTTTCCACAGATTTATCCAATCACAGATTGAAAATATCCGCATACGCACCCACCCACCCACCCCCCCCAAAAAAAATTCAGAAAGTTTGGAACAGCAAAACTTGAGTTTACCACAGGACAAGCACTGCCATGAAGCTCAGAGTGAAGCAGCGTGTGGGCCATCCTGCTAAAGCTCGGGGCATCGTCTGCCATCCATCTCCTCAAGTGCTCTACAGATCTGCCGCCAACAGTGCCATCTGTCTGAACCCGCACTTTTTCCTCCCTCATTATTAGGTCCTAACAAACACCGTCCTAACTACTTCCACCGCCCTTACGCTGTGGGAGGTACAACTCACGGAGAGATGACTTAAAGTGTAACAAAGGATGTGTGCTGGTACTATGCAAATGCTACACTATTTTCTACAAGGGACTTGCACATATGAGGATCTGTAGCCCTGGAAGGTCCTGGAACCTGGCCCCTGGGGATACCAAAGAATGGATGTACTTGAGCTTCAAGCTAGTTAGTTGAGCTCTCTGTGCTTCAGGTGCCTACCCCATACCTGTAGATGGCTGGGAAGATATAAGCCCTGAGTATATGTCTACAGTACCTGCTACATACCTGGATGGGTTTCTCAACACCAGGGAGGGTGGGAGAGTTAGATACCCGTCTCTGGGAGGGAGAGTACCGAAACTGAGGGATTCTGCTGTGGGAAGTCAGGGTGTGCCAGAAGGATGGCCCGGCACGCAAGAAAACCACTGTGTCCCCCCAAACTCACAAAGCCCACCCTAAGTCACAACAGGTGACCACATTAAGAGGAGGCCTTGGGTGGTCCCCATCCATCTGTCCTTACAAGGAAGATGGACACATATGTCTATATGGAGATGAGAACCAGTCTTGCCTATTCCTTGATCCTGGACATCCAGGCTCCAGGACCACAAGAGCAATCAACTCCTGTTCAAGCCTCCCAACCTGTGGTGTTCTGTCCTGGCCACCTGGCAGCCCAAGATAGCCATACTTGTTCCCCAACAGTCTAGAGAAGCAAAAGAGTCGGGAAGGCGCTGCTGCCCCAGGTGGGCACATCTCCCTTCCCCATCACCCACTCCCTCAAGGCCACATTAGCAGGAACCCGTAAGGCCAAGCCAGCCCTTTACATCTCTAAGGCTCTGACACTCTGGGCTGGCCTACAGTGACCAGTTCCTCAAAATCAACCCTCTCCAAGTAAAATCCTTCCAAGTCCCCCCACCCCCACTCCGGCCACAGCAGCAGCCCTGACCCATCTCTGCCTATCCTTTCCTCCTCATCTCCAAGAGAGAACTCAGGCCTGCACTCCTATTCCAGGGTTGTCTGCCTCACAGTCCCCTAGGGGCATGCCTCCCCAACACCAAGGGAGGTAGCCAGGAACGAGCAAGGGTTGGTGAGCATAGGTGGAGAGCCTGAAGGTCTAAAGCTGCTCAGAGCAATTCTGAGCAGATGGCACAGGCGGAGGGCCCCAAAGCAGCATCAAAGAAAAGACATGGCAGCAAGTTCAACAAAATGAGTACATTCCTACAGTCAAGAAAGAAGGTGATGGCAGTGGGGTGGGGGGGCCAATAGATGGGGAGGCCTCCTCCAAAGATCGCAGGCCCAGGACAGAGGAGAAAGGCAGCCTCATGAGAATGGAAGGCTCCATAAGGCCAAGGCTAGCACAGGCAGCAAACATGGCGAGAAGCCCTCCCCACAGCACTCACCAATGAGCGTCTTCAGACACTGGCCTGAGGCGGTGTCCCAGATGCGGCTTCAAAGCAAGAACAAAAACAGTTGAGAAAGCCAATCACTATAAGAAACCTGGGTGTACTAGCACTAACCTGATGAGTTTTAGGGCCAGCACTTTCCCTTCTTTCATTATCTATTTTTTTTTTTATGCTTCTCTTACATTCTAGGGACAGATGAGGCACTACACCTGCAAACAGCCTTCATCTAGTAGACTGTGGACAAGCCCTCTATACTGTCCATCTTGGCACAAAGACCAAGGTGTACTTCCCCTTCACCCTTTTTGGCCTGGCAAAGGCCAAAATGACAAGCATGCAGTCCACTGCAGTGGGACGTGCTTAAGGCAAGATGTGATTTTGTGGACATCCCTTCAGTGAAGTGAAAAAAGAACATATTCAGAACAGACAAGCCAGGCTCAGCTACTGGCCCAGTTCCAGGGTTTCTGAGACTTTTGACCACACACACACACACACACACACACACACTCTCTCTCTCTCTCTCTCTCTCTCTCTGACACTGGAACACACACTGACAGGCTCCCACCCTTCTATGGCAGACTCCTAACAGCAGGGTGCAGGATGAAGGGGACACACGTATTCAACGCACTGGAGTAAACAGACTGTCCTCCCACCATGATCTCCAACATTCCTCCACGTCCCTGCATCTTCATCCAAGCTAGACCTTATTCCCTAAGGTAAGAATGCCATAATGGCTACTTAGTGTGAGCTCTGCCCTCCCTCCACCCCAATCAGGAGAGATCCTACAAGGCTGATTTCAGCACCACTAGTTCCCTTGAATGCCCTGGTTACTCTACCAACTCTGAGGACCAAGAGTCAGCTCTCGTCCTCTTCCTCTTCACTTCCCTAATTCTCTCAGCTCAATTACACTTCTCTGTGGATTTTACTTTACTTTCTGAGACAGCGTCTCACTGTGCAGCCCAGGTGGTGCTCAAGCTTGCAATCCTCCTGCCTCAGCATCTGGAGTAGCTGGGACCACAGGCATGTGTCACCATGTCTGGACCCTCTATGGATTTTAAATCCACTCTACTCAGTAGCAAAACACCCTGAAGGGCTGAAGGGTTCTAAATGCAACTGCAGCCAGGCGCTGGTGCTCACGCCTATAATCCTACCTACCTGGGAGGCTGAGATTGGGAGGATTTTGGTTCCAGGACAGCCAGGACAAATATTTCATGAGATCCATCTCCAAAATAACCAGAGCAAAATGGACGGGGGGTGTGGCTAAAGTGTACCTCTTAAAGAGTACCTGCTTCACAAGCGCAAAGGCCTGAGTTCAAACCCCAGTCCCACCGATAAATGAATGAATGAATGAATGCAACTACCTTACAGCACACAGGCTCAGGACAACTACACTGAACACCACTGCAACTCATTCTCATCCTAAACTCTCTGGTGTGTCCTCTAGGCTGGACACTATCAACTCACTGAGTCTTCTGTTCTCTGGTTAAACATCCTGGCACATCTGTCTCTGTCACTATCACCCAGAGACCTTTCTCCCACCTTCTAACTGGTAATTACTAACAAAGAAAAAGGGAGTTTATCTTCAAACACCCACAAATGAGCAACTCCCAATCATGGCCACCAAGGCCTGTGGTAGAGTCTGGGTTGTGCAGCTCACACATGGTTTAAGACACTGGTCTGTCACCAGCTGAAGACAACTGGCAGGTGTTTATACCTGCCTCCACTTCCCAAATGAGAAATGAAGATCAACAGAGAAAAATCAAGGCACCATCACAGGTTAAATAGACAAAAACTTTGCTAAAGCATCATATAAGTGGCTTTTAAGTTTTTAAAAACAGACAGACCATCTACAAAGAGATGCATCTCTGTCCATCTTTCACACAACGATTTTTACTTTCTTATCACCTTAACTAGAAACTCCAAACAACGCTGAAAGGACGAATGGCCACGCTGGCTTTGCTCACGACTTGCAGTTTTAGCAAGTCACCATGTGTCACAAAATCTGAGTTCCCAGTACATAGCTGGCAATATTGGCCTGTGCTGCTAAGGGTAGGATTGGCTGCTGGACACTATCAGGTACCTTTGACCTCTACTAGTAATAAACTACATACGGCTATTTGTCTTTAACTTGTTGAGATAATTAGATCACGGGTTTCCTGATTATTTATGCCATTATAATCCTGCACTATTGAGCAAACTCACTTGGTCATGGTATTTTTTTGGTGTGCTGCCGGATGCAGCTTGCTAGCATTTTCTGTGGAATTCTGGCATCGATGTACAGCAAGCTGCCTTTGGGTTCCAGGCCTAGCAATCAGGTTTGGGGAGCAAGTCATGCCATATTACCTTTCTCTTCCTCTGGTCTGGAAACAGCCAGAAACCTTACAAGTTTGTATTTGGCTGGATTTGTGTATATAATCAGAGGGACCAACATTACTTTCAGACGGCTGGCACCTCCCCAGGATCCTCAGCTCTACTCCCTGGCCGTTCAGAAAGCAGGGTAATCTCTCCCTAGAGCCCAGAGCACACTGAGGCAGCTGGGCCACCTCTTTCTCCTCTATCCTCCCTGAATTTGTGGCCTCCTCTTCAATTTCTAATCTTGCTCATTTTTGCTTTCTCCTTGTTTGGGCATACAAAGGTTTTAACTCTTTATCAAATACACCTGATATAAATTTTCCTATTTACTTTCCCATTCTTCCACCTTTTAACTTTACAAGTTCCTACTGCTTCTCTGGTATACCTTAATTTTTTGAAAGGTTCTGTGGAGCAGGGTCCACACACAACTCAAGAGACTGTCCCAGGCTTTAAGATGTCCAGCACTCCCAGGTTGGTCAACACACCAAGGTGCTGGGAGCCAAGCTGCTGCAAGGGATGCCTGGAGATCCCCTTCCTGCTGAACCCCCCGGCTCACTCAAGTCTCTTCCACCTGTCTCTTCCTGAGTTGTACCCTTTATGGCAAACTGGTAAATGGCTGCATTGAATTATGGCTTTATCCTTGGTTGCTACTGGGCAGCATAGGGGCTGCAGCTCATCCTAGTGACCAAAAGTCACCACCATGTGGGCACTGGTGGGTTCTCCCTGCAGGATGGCTTGGTCTTCAGATGTCCGTCTCCCTCCAGGCCCATCCTGAGTGTGGATGGGACCATGTGTGCTGGCTACAGACTGGGCCTCTGGGGCTCCAGCTGGCACACCCTCATAGGTCCCCAGTTCCCTGTTGGCCAACATTCTGTGGAGTCGGACTAGAAAGCAAGTTTCATGTACACTGCCATCTGGGTTCCGACAGCCTCGAAGTACCTGGCCCCACTCTCAGGGCTGCCCTGCCTGTGACAGTGACAACATAGCACATGGTGAACCTGCACAGTTGGAACAAAAAGGCTCTTCTTTATATTTTGGAAGAACAGACTTTATTTTGTTAAATAAACTTTGTGCAAGAAAAAAAGGAAGTATTTTGTTTATAGTACACAAGAGACTCCATACATAGCGACTAAACAACTAATGGTGCTGACCAGCTTCATTAAATCCTAAGTCCTCTTCTGTCAGAGTTAAAGCAAGGTATTAACAACCTCACAGGGCTGAGAATGTAGTTCAGTGGCACAGCACTTGCACAGCACTTGCCCAGCACCAGATAAATAAATATGAAGTCAAGTTCTCCTACGTGTCTAGGTCTTATTCCTCAGCTTCTGGTCACTGTGCTCCATGATTCTTTCTCATCAGTCCGCCTGGTATGTTCCTGGCTTCTCTCTGTTGTCCTTCAACTCCACTCTCTTTGCTGTGCACTAGCATAACATCACTTGCCTGTCCTCATGCTCACACCCTCCCGATCGCTTCCTTTTAGGTGTTTCTTAAAGGAACTATTGAGTCAGAAGGATTTTTAAAACCCAAACTTGACAGCCCTTCATGAGGGTACTCAGCATGTCCACCACTCCCGTAAACCTAATATACTGCTTCCCATTTCCTCCACATAATCTGGTATGTGCTATTCCTGCTGCTGTCTGTCATCTTTTTTATTTCTGCTCAATGTGGACATGCTTCTAGCCACACTTCCCATCAACTGGGAAGTCCTACTAGCATCACCAACCCAACCCAATGGCTGTCACAGTTCCCTTCATCCCTACCATCTCCTCCAAACCCAGAATACACTCCAAAATCTTCACTCCCACACCCACCTCACTTTGAACTCAACAAGTGTAAACATTCACTTGTGCATTTTCCCTATGTCTCCTAAAGAACCCAAGCACTTACATCACAATCTCCCCATCAGCTTTGCGGTACAATCTTCAGCCTTAACTGCAAGTTCTTCAGAGCCCACAGCCCCAGCTCCTCCTCCTGTTCCTAAGCTGGTATCTGTTGATTCACCTGCCCAGGGCTCACTATGTGAGCTCAGTTGCCCACTTCCTGTGAGCTTAGGGTCTGCAAGGAGCTTCCGTTCCCACCTGGGAGGCCTAAGACCCTTCCCCTGACCTTGCCAGCCTTGCCATTTCCCTTTGCAACTTTTCACAGCTTGGACTCACGTACCGTGTCTGTCAACATGTCTGTAGCCCACTGAGGCACAGCTTCTGGAAGGTGAAGGTGCATGCCCCCTCCTTTCATTAAACCCCAAAGCTGGAACAGTGTAACCCACAGGCCTTGACTTACTTTGTTATATGAAGTAAGATCTCTCACTTACCAGAGACCATCGTAGCTACTCGAAACTATCAAGGATCCATCCCGATTAAAATGAACCTAAGTATTAAAGAGGGGAGAGGACAAGAAAGCTTACTTCTTTGACACCAGCACACGGTTTCTTACCCAATGCCCTCCTACCCATGGATGCCATGACAGTGGGGATGTACCTGGCCACGCCTTTCCTTTAAATACTACTCATGGCCCAGACGCTCCAACAGGATGCAGGAGCAACTCAAATGAAATGGCAGTCTTCCCATCAGTCTGTTTCAGAATGGATGATTGAACCATACATAAAGAATCAGCTTCAAAAAGCATCATTTAAATACAGCTTCATGAAGGAGATGTGGCGTCTAGATCTGTATGTTCATCTGTCCTGTTATGAGGACATCCTGACAAAGCCAGTATGGTTAAAGGTAACTCCCCTGACTGCACAGTAAGAAAGAATGGCAGACTACAGGGCTGGACAGAAACACCCACTCTTCCAGTGAGTCTGAAGACTGGAGCTCTGGTGCCCTTTCCCTTGGCATGCACCAATGAGCGACATGGGTAGCCTCAGTTCCAGACACCTGAACCACCGCCACCTCAGAAGCTGAGCAGGCAGAGCCCCTCAAGCTTACAGGAGACATCAAGGAAATCCAGGCCTCTTGAAACCTGGTGTTTGGGGGCAACTAAGTCTATCTGCCACGGCCCCACAAGACAACCAAGGGCTTTTCCAACCATTTACTCTGCCTGACACCTGCCCTCTCACCACAGAGGCAGACTGAGATACCTGATAGGAAGAAACTGCGCCTGACAACGGCTGATTCAGTTCAGTTGTTTTTACTCCTTTTCCAAGTGAATCTCCAGTGGTAATAAGAGGAATCATGATGCTAAGAGTTAGAGCCTATCATAAATTTCTATTTATTTTATTTGAGTCCTTGACAGATGTGACCCAGAACAAAACTTTTTAAAAACAAAATGCATTGTTAAAAATGCCTTGTTCCCTCCTATGGGACATAATTTCCTTTGTGAAATTAAGCCATACAAGAAACTCCTGTGCAGCTCAGTGATGAGGCTCAGGCAGTGTTTCCTCCACCTCCCATCCGAGTTGCTCAGCCCTGAACACTAACACTCCTGGGTTAGGGGTCCTGTGCAGTTCAACCTAGTCCTCATTCGTGAGATGCCGCAGTATATAGCTGCAACAATCAACCACCTCTAAATGTAGTCAGGTTCACTACCACAGAGATTGCTGGAGGGCTGTGAAGCACAGTGGCAGCTCAGTCTCCACTTCTGAATTCTGACTCAGGGGTCAGCAGTAAGGACTGAGAACATGGTTTTCTTTGAGACAGTCTCTCCATATAGTACAGACTGGCCTCAAACTCACCACCCTCCTGCTTCTGGCTTGCAAGGGCTGAGATTATAGGCTTGTGCAAGAGCATGTACTCTCAAACACGTTCCTGGGGATGCTGTCACTGCTGGCCCAGCGACCTCACCTAGAAAACCACTAGGCTGGACTCCCTAAGAGCGCTGTGAGCCAGCCACAGCTATGACTACCTTCCAGGCAGCTATCTGCATGAGTAAAGTCAAGAGCAGGTGAAACTGACAGATTTTATTTAACCGCATATATGTAAGATGCTTCAACATGTAAACTACAAAAGTTATTACAAGACACTTCGACATACTTGTTTGCTGCGCTAAGTCTCTGAAATCCGAAAGCATAAATACCACATTCCAGCTCCACCTGTGTCTGGGTGCCAAAGTCAGTGGCCTGCACAGTGTACAGTGGCTCTCAAAGTCCTGCTAGCAGCTGGGGACAGCCTACTGTCGCCCCCACTGTTCCCACCAGCTGTGCTGACAGGATGCTCGTGCAGGACCAGCTACTCAACTGTGCCCACCTGGCTGCCAGCCTCTCAAAGCTTTTTCAACCCATGGCAATTCATCTACCCAAATTCATCCCTTTCTTTAAACATGAAAAATAAGGCTCTTATGGAGGCCAATCTGCTGAACAGTAATGAGCAGACGCGGGTTCCCTAAACTCACAAGGCCAGCTGCTCTTCACTTGACCAGAAGCTGGCCAAAGTGGCCTAGCTTTCCCATTCAACCAGCGTTCAGGTGAGAAGCAACAGGGCCATACTGTGCAGTCTAGGAGCAACAAGTAGGGCAGCAAGACAAAGCCCACCTCTGGTCAACAATCAACAAGAGCCATCAGCAAGGGTGAAACACGGCTGACAGCCAAGTGAGAACTGGGTGTCCACAAAGGCAAATGGCAGGCCACAGACTGCAGCCAGGGTGTAGGGACAGAAGAGGGCCTTCAGTGGAAGCCAGCCCTGAACTGACAGATGGGAGGAGCCAGCAAAGGGCTCTCTGGGCCTTGATGTCTCCAGCTCCAGGGTACACCTGCTTAACTGTTCTACAACGATGCAAAGCCATGCAAACAGAACAGTCAATGTACCTTTTGACAAAAGTGGGGTTACAAAAGTCTCCATTGAAGGTTAGTGGCTAACAGTGTACCAAGGGCATGGACTTGCATGGACATCCAAGATGTCCAAGGGGCCTTTCTGAAGTGGAAGACAGCAGCTAGAGACAGCACCACTGTCATTTTAAAATAGAACAGTGGTAGCCAGGTGCCAGTGGCTCACGCTGCAATACTCACTGCTCAGCACAGAGACCAGGAGGATCACCATTCGGAGCCAGCAAATAGTTGGCAAGACCCTATCTTGAAAAACCACATCACAAAAAAGGGCTGGCAGAGTGGCTCAAGTGGTAGAGTGCCTGCCTAGCAAGCATGAGGCCCTGAGTTCAAACCCCAGTACTGAAAAAACAAAATAGACCAGCGGTGAGGAAGGCTGGAAAACACATGTTTAAAATAAAAGACCCCAAAAAGATGGACTCTGAGCTCTCAGAGTCACACTGACCATACAGACCATCTATACTTGGGGGTCACTTTTCTGGGTTAAGTGTGCACAAGTTACTTCTGCAAAAAACTGGTTTGAAATCCTACCTCCAATCTCAGTGCCCTGCAACTGTTCCCAACCACTGCCCAGTCACACAGTCCTTTGCATGAAGACCATTTCACTAGTGTGTCCCTTACTCACTTGCCATCCCCAGCATGAAAATGACTTCTACCTGATTGTGAGCCCATATGGCTCTAGAGAGCAGAGGCAGCCAGCAGAAGACAACCGGGCCTGTGTACACCCTGCACAATGCATCTCTGCACAAAGGGCCCTACACGCTAGTGGTGGCTTTAGGCCAGTGAGGACCGTGCACAGGCTGGAACACCCTTCTGCTTTCCAAGCCTGAAAATGCTTAAGATTCTGCACCCACAAGACTTAACTGAGTAGCCCATTTGTGGGTTACTGGGACAGTTTGCCGACACCCAATCTTACCCTGTAGGACCCTACTCTGCAAAGACACAAACATGACTACAGAACCACCTTGGGCTCCTTAGGACTATTGGGCAACTTTTTTGTTGGTGCTGAGGATGGCACCCACACCTCATGAATGCTAACCAAGCACTCTACTACTGAGCTACATCCCCATTCCTAAGTCACTTTCCAGAATGGGACCATTTGTGATCATGTACATGGTCTGAACACTGAGATGGTGGCCGTGCAACAAGACATACCACATACATTCACTACTGAGGGCCCCAGCACCTACAGTTCTCACAAGTGGGTCATCCCAGCCACCCCATCAATCAAAGCTACTCCATTCAAAACTCACCTTACCTGTGGCCACTCTGCCCATTTCTTAACTCCCCTGTTCTCCAAATGCCTTTCCAGGCCTGGTGGCATGCTGGATACCTCCCACTAAAAACACTGGCCACATGCTTTCCCTGTACTCCCTACAGGAACCCAACCCACCCATCCTCCATGGTACACAGGACTAAGAGGTCTCGTGACCCCAGAACCCAACCTCTGGTCACCCAGATGCTGTGTGCCAGAATAATCAGCCAGACACAAGCCAAGTCCACGTGTCAGGCAGGACTTACAGCTGAGACTGGATCCGAATGAGCAGGCAGAGTTTTGAGGCACTTCCCTGTCTTCACATCCCATATCCTCACACTTTCATCAAACTACAGGCAAGAGAGAAGATTAAAGTGATTCCACAGGACCCAAACCTACCCCTCACCTGGAAGCTCACCTGCCCACCCCACACTGACCACTGGTACTTGACACTGCACATCATAGCAACCCCTCCCCCCCGGAGGAAAACCTGCGCACTTACAGACCCTGAGACGATGAGGTTGGACTGTGGGTTGAAGTTGCAGCAGAAGACATAGTTGCTGTGTCCCTTCAGGGTCTTCAGACACTTTCCCTAAAGCACAGTGGAATCAGACCACCTGCTCCCAGGAGCCATCTCCCCAAACACCAGCCTTTGGCTTCCCAGCAAATCTGACCACCTCTTAGTGTCTGGCTATTCCCATCCCTGTGTACAGCTCTCCTCCTGCCCTTCCTCAGCCACACAAACCTCCCTTGGAGAAGACCAGAGTCTCTTACCGAGCTCACATCCCATATCTTCAAGGTTTTATCATCAGAAGCAGACACAAGGAGGTTAGAATCAGATGACCAGGCTACGTCAGATATTCCCTTGGAAAGGAAAACACACAATTACCATCTTTTAAGACAAAACCCAAACAGCCAATAAAAAGTCAAAATTCCAACGTAGAAGACACACACAGGGCCCAGAGGAAAAGGCCACTCTTGGTGGCTCTCCAGCCCCTAAAAACACAAGAAATAGATCACCACAAAGAAACACAGGGGAACTTCCATCTGCATCCACCAGCCCAGGCCAGGCATGATGCTCAGATGGTCCTGCCACCCTGCTCGACACCATGTCACAGGGGACCTACCAGCTTGTGACCAGATATGGTTTTCTCAAACTTTCCATCATATGCTCCCCAAATTTTAATGAGTTTGTCAGCAGCTAAAAGAAACAAAACACAGCTGAGGCTCAGAGCAGGAATGTAGTACAGGGACTGTGCTGTCCCACACTGCACTCGGGGAGCCAGCATGCTGCTAAGCGTGGCCATGTGCAGGAAGGCCAGGCCCCCAGGCCACTTCACTTCAGAGCGGCAATGTTCTGGAGAGGGAACAGGTAGCATGCTAAATGATCCATGGCAGAATTAAGAAGTCACACAACCCACCCACCCCACCCCACCCATTTCTTGTCCACAGCTCAGACCATCTCTCCCAGCAGTGGTACTCAACAATACGCACACGAACTTGCCAGCCATTCTCCATTCGGGCTGAATTTCACAGAGGACACCGCTTTGGTGTGGCCAGCCAGGGTGAATTTTAGAGCATAGTTGGGTTTAACAGGAGTAGGCTGTTGGAGAGACACAGTACAACTTCAGTGAGCCATAAGTAACCACCACTGTCCAATTCAACTGACTAGGTTCCTAAAATTTAACTCCAAACTCAGGCCTATCTTTTTAGCTCCAAACTCATAAGCCATGGGCCCACTAGAAACCTCTTCTGATGTCACCCTTCAAACTGACCAGAGCCAAGTTTGAGCTCATTATCTGCCCCTCAAACCTCTGCTTCTCCTGCAGCCCCGCCCCCCCACCTCAGCACTCTAGCTCTACCATCCAAGCTAGATGTCCAAGGCCCCTCCAGGCCCCACCCACCCCAACCCCACAAAACACCTGGCACTGCTGAGCTGCTGGCTGAACCATACCCCTTCCACCTCCCTGAATGAATATGAAGGCCGGGCACCCTCTGCTATAATACCCAATTCCTGTTGCCTGGGGAGGAGTCTGAAGACTTGTATAGGAGCTGAAACTGTGGGACTGGGTGGAGGTGCTTATTCAGAGAGGTTTTCTGGGTTCTACAGACTCTTACAATCAGAATAATTTGCTCTTCTTATACTCCCCCCCAATAGGTTTGGGAATCCCTGTCATTCCATTATGTGGTCAATAAATAAAATTAGCAGCATATTTAAGTGAGTACAGGAACCTAGACTAACAAGCTTGAGATAACACCCCCAGGAACTTCCAAAGCCTGTTTGGCCAGAGGCTCCCAAGGAGCCCTGGCACGCACCTTACTCTGTGTGGCCGACGAGGAAGGGGTGGGTTGTGCTCTTGCAGCCTCTGTCTCGGGCTTCTTCTCCTCCGTGGCCATGGCTCAGTAGCCCACCAGGAAGGGAGCCGTGGGTGGGGATTCACAATGGAAGAGGCTGTCTGCTAACCGAACCCTACAGAGGGGATCTATAAACAAATCATTCCTTTTAAAAATGAATTTGGGGGGCTGAGGATGTAGCTTGGTGGGAGAATGCTTGTCTAGCACGTGAGAGTCTCTGGATTTGATCCCCAGCACCACAAAAAAAATGAATTTCCAGGAAAAAGGATAAAAAAGAAAAACATGTGACCATCATATTGTGCCCTGTAGCAATTAAGCTGTTCCAAACTGAGCAACCTGACTATCCCTAACTCCAGGCTAACACTTTCAGCAACTCACTGAGATACCCTGCTCTTTGCAATCCTAAGACTACACCCTCAAGAGAACTTCAAATTGTGCTACCTAGGATGTCTACAGCAATGCAGCACAGCGTACGCAAACAAAATGCAATTCGCTTCAAAGAGTCCTTGACACACTAAAAAACAAAAAACCCAAGGCTTCTGACAGAAACTACCTGGCCACATGACAGCAAACTGGGCTTCAGGGTGCAAGTGTTTGGGAGCTCATCCAAATCCTAAGACAAGTCCAAGGGCCTCGGCACATTAACAGCCCTGTCTGCAAAGAGGAACATGCTCCTGGCAGCCTGCCTCAGGGGTGGATGCAAGGCTGTCTACCAGAAAGTTACCACTCTACAGGGCTCTACCATGCACCAGACAGGACACCGTCTTCAAAAGACCTGCAAGAGCAAACCAGAAGGGGCCCACCTCTAGAGTTTCCATGTCCTAATGTCTATAAAAGCCGCCCAAAGTACACCACCAAAACTCTGCACACAAGTAATAGGATGCAGAGGAAAAAGGACTGCAGCTCAATCTGGTTTGCTTGACAACAGACCACCAGAAACAAATGAGCGACAGTTTCCTCTATCACAGGTGCTGTTATGGCTTACATCTCAAAAGCACACCAAATGACTCTGAAAGAGACAAATTATTAAAAAGGAGAGCCACTAGCCTGGCACCAGTGGCTCACGCCTATAATCCTAGCTACTCAGGATGCAGAGATCAGAAGGATTGCAGTTCAAAGCCAGCCTGGGCAAAAAAGGAGAGCCACCTTGCAGATGTCATGCTTGACATGCTTGCAGATGTCACCAGCCATCAGATCCTCAACCATTAACATGAGTGTGCACACGATAAACTCCAGCTTGGAGCTTAAAATTGAAATCTTGCACAGGCCCAGACAAAAGTGAAATGGAGGCCATCCAAAAAAAAAAAAAAAAAAAAAAGAGCATTGTCTTCACAGACAGAGAGAAATCACAACACCGACTGCGTAGAACACAGGGACAGAGTGGGAGAAGGGCAGGTGCCATGGATCTGTCCAGGAGTCAGAGCTCTGGCCACTTATTCTTAACACAACTTGGCTGTGCCACGGTAACCTCATGGCCATCTTTTCCTTGGTGGTCTGAACTGACAGCAGGAGAGAGGCACTGAGGAAAACTAAGCAAAAAAAAAAAAAAAGCTGGAAAGTTTCATTTGGAAGATGCTAGCACCACTCCTGCCCTGGTGAAGGGGTGGGGCTGAAGCAGCTCTTTTTAGCAAAAGGAGACTGGCCTACATGTGGGGTGTGTGGTGACTCCTGCAGACAAGTGGCTGCCCTCAGGCAAGAAACAACCCTTAGGTGGTCTTACAAGAAAGCGTTTAGGCTCACAAAACATTAACATATGAACAAGCCCATGGGAAAGGTCCAAGGCTTAAGCATCTTTCAGAACACTCAGGTGTCTCTGTGGAGCAACAGTTTTCAGGCTACAAGCGATCAGGAAGAAGGAGTTCACCTCCGCAGCCACCTCTTGGCAAACACAGCTTCTCACCCAGGTGAGCATGACCACAGAAGATACAGTACCTAACTCTGCGAGCTTTTCCAGGCCTGGCGTCAAATGCAGTCTCCTGGGCTGCACCTCAGAGACTCAGTGCACAGGTGTGGAGAGACAGGAAGGAATCGCGTTTTAAACATGCACCCGGGTGATCGCAGGTGGCCAGTCGCACTGAAATCCGGGCAACACCTCTACCTGACCCGGCTCCAGGGTACCCGCTGTGGGCATCTTGCCTGGGACCACTGCCTACTTACCTACCTGCCTTCCCTAGGGGTTACAGAGCACTTGCCCCAACCAAAGCCTAGAAACCCTTTGGCTACGGAAGTGAGGTGCCAAGCAGGTAGGAACTTCCATGGGGACCCAGTGAGAGGCGTGTTACAAGAGCCCAAGCTGACCCTAGCAGACCAGAGAGAAGTTGGTTGGTTCCCCCCATGGCGACACAGGACCGCAACCCAGGGACCCCAGCCTGGACGAGGTGGGCCTGGCGGCCCGGGCCAAAGGGACCGGCGGGGCGAGGGCACCGCACATGGACGGGGGCTCCCAGGCCCGGGGGTGGGGGGGTCTCTGGAAGGGCAGTAGAGGGGAGGAGGGGAAAAGAGGTCGTGCCCAGGTCTTGTCACGGGCCGCCGGGGAAAGAAGATCGGGGCGCGAGCGGCGTGGCGGGCGCCGGGGCGCGGGGTGGCCACGAGGCGGATTGGGGTGGCCGGGTCGGGGCGCGGCCGCAGCGGACCGGGCCCGAGGCCCGCGGGACACACGTGCGGCGGCCTAGGTTCGGGGAGCCCGCCCGCCCCACCGCCACTCGCCTTGCGCCCGTGGGCCGGGCCGCCCGCTTACCTGCCGGACCGCGGCGGCGGGGCCGGGCGCTCGGGCGTCTCGTCGGCCGCCCCTGCGCGCGAGCGCGGACAAGCTGCTAGACGCGGCGGCGGCGCGGGCGGCGGGCCGCAGCGCGCGTGCGCGAGGGGCGGGGCGGCGTCGGGGGGCGGGGCGACGGGCTGCAGCGAGGGTCAGAAAGCCTGGGAGGCGCAACGCCTTAAAGGGGCAGTGCCCAGCTCGCGCTTCCGCTTCGGAGGCCTGCATCGCGGGTTTGGCTAATGCAGGCCCTTCCTCTGCCCCTTCTGAAGCTCCAGGTATAGAATGACGCGCGGGAACGTGCTAGTTTCCTCCTCGCGTTGTCACAGGGGGTGTCCCCCTGCGGACAGGAATCCTCTTGACGCTCTGATGAACCAGCACCACACCTGGGTGTCTACACGGTCCGGAAACCCGGATTCCCCGCGGGCAGCCCACCGCAGGACTGGCGCTTGCCGCCTCCGCATGCCAGAGCCCAGGCGGACACACCTGCTTCTGTTCTGAGCCGTGCGACAAGGACATTGCACTGTGCACCAGTGCAGACTCAGAAAAACGACTTTATCTGGGTTCTTAGGAATTGCAATTCGAGACAGGGTTCAAAGAGCTCTGTATCAGTGTTAGGGGAAGGGGAGGAAATGCCTATGCGTTGAGAAGGTGCTGGAGCTGCCTGGTTTGGAAGACACAGACAAAAATGTATAGACAGAATGCAAGTGGTCCATAACACAAGAGTCCCATACGCAACTAGATGTGCATCTTGAGCTTCTGGGACAATGTAATTGTCCCTTAGCTGAGACACTTCAGATGCCTGAGGTCACGGTCCAGGCAGCACTAAAGTATGGGGGGGGGGGGGCTGCATTAAGTCCTGCTCCCATATAGCCTCCAGCTCCATTTTGGAAGCTCTTTGTCACCCGGACCAAGGTGGGCCAAGGAAATCCCCAGAGGGAGAGGTTCTCAGCTCTCCAACCTGGTACAGATACTTGGGACACATGGAGGTGGAGATCAGGACAGTTTATTGGTAAAGGAAAGGGCAGTGCATACCTAGACGTGGGTGTGGGCACATCTGGCAGGAGGTGCTGAGTGCTTTAACATCATTGTAGGAAAAAGTGGAGAGTCACCGGCTTCCAGGCTCTGCTGCAGTACCTTAGCTGTAGCCTTTCCTTTCTCTCTAATAAATCCCACTGTATATATTTAAAAAAAAAAAAGTGGATAGGGGGCTTCTGTTCAACACCCCTTGAGAGAAGTGGTTTTCCTTGTTCTGAACACCTGGTGCACTTTAGTTAAAATTCTTGCTGTTACACTATTTTGACATTATCATTTGGGCCCAGAGATACCATGTCTGGTCAGCTTACTAAGTTTGGGTCACTATGACAGTGTGTTTTCCTTGATAGTCCCTTTAAACAAAGGATGGGTTGTGGGTTGTTTGTTTACTACCTGCTCCTTTTAAGACAGGTGTCTGTCCTTAACACATTTTTCCTTTGCAAACATTTTTGTAATTCAAGGAGTCATGCTTTTTTCCCCCAAGTGTCTTTCTCTAAGACACCCTTGCTCAGGTCTCAGAGCTTAGTAATCATTTGGGCAAGCGGGCAAGGTCAGAGGGAGAGCACTGCTGGTGGTAGTACTGGGGTTTAAACTCAGAGCCTCATACTTCCTAGGCAGGTGTCTACCACTTGTGCCAGACCTCCAGCCTCTTTTTAACTATATTGCAGCTCAGTGAGGAAGGCGACTTCTAAAGCAAAGAAAGGAGCACCTGTGTGCGTTTAATCATAGTATGCACTAACACGGTGTTTCTCTCTGCATTCCTGTCTCCTGTCCCCATGCCTTGTTCCCTGTCTGTCCTGCCTTGTTTCAGTGTTGCTTCATCATACCTTTCCTCTTATTTTCACAATGCTAACAGTCACTTGCAGGCAGGCTACTCTGCAGTTGGCAAATGACTTCACAGCCTTCTCTCCTGGGAGCCCACCCCTGCCTTCTTTACAAACAGGGAAGAGGCATGGTGTGTGGCTCAAGTGGTAGAGCACTTGTCTAGCAAGTGCAAGATTCTGGGTTCAGTCCCTGGAAGCGGATGCCCAGAGAGGAGGACACAGGTGCTAGGGAGAACCTGAAGGTAGTCTACACATTCTCACTTCACCGTCCAACTTCTGCTACCACATGGAGTCTTAGAATCTTGGAGGAAGTCATGACTTCTGCAGCCCCATGCCTGTAAGTAGAATAACCTGTGATCTGTTTTTTTTTTCCAATTAAAACTGAGAATACCAAACATGACACAGGAACCTGTGCAAACAAAGAGGCAGAGCATTTGAAATGGAGATACCCAGGGAATGTGAGATGTGTGGTTGCCATAGCTACAGAAGTGAGAAAGATTGGCAGTTTGTCCAGGAAAAATACAGGGAGGGCTCCACCTGGACCTGCATACCCAAGAGGCCTAATCCCTCGGCCAGGTGTCCTGGAGTGTGAGTGGTGAAGAACAGCGTGCTGTCTCTCTCCACCTGGACGAGAAACAGAGCCCACCAGGGATTGGAGTCCCACCACCATCTCTCACATGGCATTCAGATCCGTCCATTCCTCTGCCCCTGTCCCTGTACCTCAGACCTGAACGTTTCCATTCCCCTCTGACCAGAGGAACTTCCAGCTCTCCAGCTCTGATCTCACTCCCCTGCTGAAGTTCCCATTGCCCTCCGATCCAATCCAAGCTGAGACCTGACCTTCCTCTCCAGCCTAGCACCACCTCCCAAGCTGTGCACCCCCAAGTTCCATTCCAGAATCCAAAGCACTTCTGTCCTTCAACCCTGCAGGCCAGATGGGATGGAGGTCCTGACAGAATTTCAGGTGACATGGTCTTGGCCCTTCCCACAGAGACAGAGCTTTCTGGTGGAAGAGGAAGGCTCCTCCACTCTGAGGAGTGTTTTCACAATCCACCCTGCAGTTATAGATCAAACCCCGGAAGCAAATAATGCCACAGGGTAGAGCCACTCAAGGAAAGTGGCGACAGCCTGGGAAAACTCAGGTGAAAATGGAAGAGACAATCAGAACCACAGAAAATGGGGGACGTGCTGGAGAAGTCTTTCAGAACATTATCTGGGCTTTGACCACAGGGAGTGAATTGGTAGGTGAAACTTTCTATGACCAGTTTTTACAAATACATCTTTAGAAAGTTCATCCCTACCCTGAACCAAGGCTCTCCTAACAGCCAGACAGTGCAAGCTGGCCTGGTCACCCTCCCCACTCCCCAGGTCCTTCCTCCAGACTCACCTCCTCAGGGAACCCCCAGCAGCCAATGTTCACCAGGGCTTCCTGCCTTGACCCTCAGTGGGTGAGTTTTCCAGTGATAGTTCTCCGATACTCAACTCCTACCACTCCTCTTCCATCACCAATTCTTGGTTCAGTGTTCCCTGGGCCTGGCTGAGGTGAGTCGGGCTCCTCACACAGCATTTTTGGAAGTGGCACAGGAGGTGGAGATGACATCCTATCCATGGCTGAGCACTCGTGTGTGCAATCCTATATTAAGTTCGTTATATCTCCTTGCACCCTCATAACAAACCATTGAAATGGTTGCCTGTATCATTCCCTTTTACAATGAGGAAAATAGGTTCACATAGCTACCCAAGACCCCACAGCCAGTGAACATGCCTGCCTGGCTTAGGTAGAGCCTACACTCCTAACTCCAGACGGCACAGTATGCGTGGATAGATGAGTGGGTCTGTAAGTGGACAGGTGGATGGTTATGTGGGCAGATGAGTGGGTGCTGGATGGTTAGATCTAGATGGGTGATGGGTGGGTGGATAAGTGCTTATCTGGATGGATGGGGTGGTGGGTAGATGAGGGAGTGATAAGAAAGTTTAGGTCTTCAAGGAAGAAAGCATCCCCGCGTGAGCAGGAGTAGGGTGAGAGTCTGTGATGGTGGCAGAGCTGTGATCACATTCACTAGGACTTAGAGCTTTTGGAAAACTGTATTTTGCCACATATCAGCGAGTATTTCCTTAGCAACAGTGGACTGCCCCACCCAGAGAGGGTGTGCCAGCAGGTGGCAGAGGAACAGCCATGGTGGGAAGGCTGTGGTGTCCACAGCAGGTGCTGGAGAAGCACTGGCCCTTTAATGGTGAGTCCAGAACTTTGGGTGGGGGGGGTAGATTCCAATGGCTGTTGACAAGGGACAAGGGGGATGACCAGGACCCCAGGGGTTCAAGGAGCTTCTCACCAGATTTCTCAACTAGACTGCCCTCTTCCACTCAGCCACCATGCCAGGAGCTGTCCGCCAGCCAGATAGATGGAGTTTTGTGTAAATTCCCTTCCCCTGCTAACTCTGCCAGAGCTGCGAGTTTGGGTTTGGTGGATTCATGCTGCCATCTCTGGGTCTTTGGGCTCCTCCTCCTGTGCCAAGCACCTCCCTGATGGTCATCAAGACAGGTACTTTTTCTTTGTGCCCTGGGTTCCTGTAGGCCTTCAGCTGACAGCTTCAGCCTGACTGCTCTAACAGCTGTTCCCTTCCTCCCCTGGCCTGTTTCCCAGGTACAGGAAGATCAGGCCAGACAGGAAGAGCCCACCTCCATCTTGACAGGGATTGTGGGGCTTTTTCACAGCATCCCAGTGTCTTTGCTTTATCCCTTCCACGACTACTACTCCCATGCATCCCTTTAAGGATGGCTGTAGGTTGCTGCTGTCCAGGATGACTTCAGCCTAGTTGCCTGGCACTCTCCCTGATGAGAAAGAGAAAGTCCCCATCCTGGCAACCCCAGTATTGCTGAAACTCAGACAGTTGGCAACCAGGACTGTTCCCTCCTCAAGGCACCACTGTTCCTGCTGGCATCTACTCAACTGTCCACCCCTCTGGTGTGGAAACCTGGTGTCTGCACAGTAGGTGCATGAATCATTCGGTATTTTCTTTCACTTCCTGCTGAACTGAAACTTGTGCTAAACTTGCTTCAGACTCCTGACTATGTCCATCCGCCCTCAGCCTCCAGCCTACTCCAGGCCAGTGTCCCCTGAGATGGGCCCTGCTCAACCTCCAGGTGGTGCTGGGAACTCAGCAACCAAGCCCGGATGCATCAGGGCGACAGTCTGG